GGCAGCCGGCCCGGCTCCCCCCACCCCTCCCCGCCCGCCGCCGCCGATCACGGGGCCGGCCCCGCCGCCAGCACCCCCCGGCGGCGGCTGGGGGCGCCGGGACCAGGGCAGGGCCCGGTTATGGGGCGCCCCCCGGGCTCCTCGCCCTCTGTTCCCGGGGGCTGGGGGCGGCTGGGGGCGGCCGGGGGCTTCCCCGCGGGTGTGGGGTGCGGAGAGGTGCGGGGGGAGCCCTGAGCGCCCCGCACACCCCCCACGGGCAAGAGGGTTGAGGAGTCGTGACGGCTTTTAGGCTGAGATCCGGTTGAAAAATCGCTCTCGAGTTGGGTAGAGAAACCGAAATTTTCGGCACGTGGCCCCTCCGCTCGGCATGCCGGCCCTGGAGGCGATGGGGAGCTGCTCAGGGCATGGGCAAGGTGAGGAGCTGTAGGGGCACCCAGGGCCCACACCGCCTCACCAGAGGTTTGAGCAGTGTTTGACCGGAGTGCTTTGTGCAGGAGCCAGCCTCGGGCTGAACACAGAGCCTGAGGTTTTCATCTGGGTGCCCCCATTTGCCCTCTGGAGATGGCTGCCTCCATCTGGAGCCACCAGGCATCGGGTGCCCACCGCTGGTACTTGGAGCACGACGGCACACGTCCCCCCTTTGGTGTGCAACACAGACAGCTGTGCAGTGGGAACACCAAGGAGCACATTATACCTCCTGTCCCGCAGCCCCAGGACCTCACCAAGGAGCAACCTCATGGCCCACAGCCTTCAGAAGACTCCTTCCTCTGCCTGCCTTTGGGCACCAAGGGGCAGCTCCCTCCTCCAAAACCAGGCGGGCTGTGAGGGCGATGCCTTCTGCTGCCGCGGGATGCTGTGGAATAATCTTGGCAGCAAGGAAGGGACCCAGCAACTCACCCGAGAGGTGAGGGGATACAGGAACGCACATGCTTTTCTTGAACTGTTTTTGTATCGTGGAAGTGCCTCCCCACTCCCCAGGAATAAATCTGCTTAAGGTCCATAATCATTACTTATAAATCAGTAATCTCTGGTCCGTGACAGTGTCGTTTGTCAGCATAGCCAAAAGGTGCCATGAAGTCTTATCCAGCATGGGGGAAAGTACGATCCTATTTGGAGAACATTATTTATTCAGCATCATCTCCAGCGGGTCAAGGAGGCTCAGAGCCTGACACGACTACATCACTCATACAGATGGTCCCAAATTTTAATCAATCCATTTTCATTGCTAAAGGTTAAAGGAAAACCAAGACAAGTGCAGGGTTTTGGCTGCAAACTGCAATGGACACTGATATTAAACTTGAGATTCAAAATAGCCAAAGTTTGTGTTTTTCATGAACTGGAGATTTTGCCATTTGTCCTCATCTGAACATCTGCTCCTGCCTGAACATCTTGCCTTGCTATGTAAGTAGGAAAAGGCAGTCCTGGGCGCTAAAGGAACTTCTAGTACCGTATCTGCAGCTGTGCCCATCATGAACCATTCCTACAGGAGACGCTTTGTCGTGAGACTCATCACCATTTCTTCTGGAGGATGAGATTTACACACACCAGGTACAACAAGTTATTAGAATCGTTTGTCACGGAGCGTTGCCAGTAAGCTGGCAAGGAAGATATGTGTTTTCAATCATTTTGCTATTTAAGATGCACATACTAAAACACCAATTTTGGGGCCTTTAGCAATATTTGATCAGTCCTGCCTCGGAGAAAAAAGAAAAAAAAAAACTTCCCTTTTCAACTCTGCTTATCTGTCCGACATGTACAGAAACAAGATAACACCAGTGAAAAAGAAATCATTTAACTGTAGCCTTGGCAGTCCTGTAATGAATGATATCAAGACCTGCAGACATTGCCAGACTTTTGGCCCTAAAAGTGATGATTTAATACAAAGGAACTAGTAAAACTTCTCAACCTCATCCAAAGGGTGTGTGCCTGCAAATTGATATAATAGTACCAGCGTTGTGCTTATTATAGTATCTTGTAGAAATTTAATTACTGATAAAAATGTGGCTATCAGACACTAAACCAGAAGGGCTGTGCCAGGAAGATGGAGGTAGAAAATAATTAGTTCTCCATTTCCAAGATTTCTTCTGTGACTTTTCATTCCCTGATTGTTGTTATTGCCCCCGATTCTGTTTTACAGAATTTCCTTACATCAGTAAAGTGGTTCAGATTCAGATTCATTTTGAATGCATTAAGTTAAAAACCATTCCTATATACAAAATGAAGCGTTTCTGATAAACCAAAGTCTCAGAAGCGGCCACCAAAAGTGGTTTTTGCTATTGATACCTTGTTTCTCCTAGTGAGCTCATGTTTCCAAAGCAGGTCATGTTACACAAATGCAGACCATACACTTTCTTTGCTAAAACTTTTGGAATATCATGAAGAAACTTCTTTGCTATTATTATTCAATAGTGGCCTCAGCAGGCCTTATTTGTTTACTTGTTAAATGAAATGAGGATTATAATGGAATCAAAAGACACCTCTGTGACAATATTTAACTGTGGAAACTTGCTGTCATGTGCACATATTAGCTATTTCCATAAAATCCTATTAAATATCAGAGTTCCACAGCTAAGCTAATATTACCCATTGAACTTTTCTAACTCAAATAGTGTTGCAGTAGAAACCTGCCAAGAAACAGACTAAGTTTAAACCAGTAATTAAATGACCAGTATTTAAATAAACCAAATACCAGATTATCGCTAATATCCTAAATATTTTTTATTCCAAACATGAGAAGCTTTAATTAGCAATTATCTCGTTTGAAAATTGCTTTTCTGACATCTCTGCTTGGAATTTGTTTCTTCTTTATTGCAAGTATCTCCACAATTCCAGTGATAATTTCTTAAATTGCCTGACTTGATTGTTCAGGTCACGGTCTTGCACATTCTTGTTTATTATACTTGCTTGTAATTAAGTATACATGTTTAAGTAGTCCCATTAAAGTCGGAATCTAATTCATAATTAATCCAAAGCAAAGTTTGGATATAAATAATGCATTATTGTATACAACATCTGTAAAGTGCAGGTGTGTCGTATGCACATAGGAAGAGCAGACTGTGTAAGCGGGGGGAATACGAACGGATGTGTAGTGAAGACAGCAAAAAAAAAATGTAGGTAGGCAAACATAGGCTAAATTGCCAGATTTGTTTACTGGAAAACATTTGTTAACATTGCGTACTTGAAATTAATTATGTTTATAATTTTGGAAAGTTCATTATACTAGCAGTAAGTATGGTGATTTTTTTTATCGAGCAGATCAACCATTTCAGCCTTATTAATTGCAGCCTAAGGAATGTTTACTCTCTGTCCTACCTATCATGCCAATTAGTTTGGCTAACAGCCTACTAAATTTGACAGCTGAGGATTAACAAGAGCTTAACAGTAAAGCAACTTTTCCCCTACAGACTATTGAGTCCAGAAGGGGTGTTTTTCCAAATCAGGATCATTCAGAAGCTCTTCTCTAAACTGCCTGTTATTAACACTATCTTAACTGTGGGGTTAGTTGGTTGCAACGGAGCCTTAAGTCACATTGTTCTGAAAATTAGACTCCTTGTTTATATGCTTAAAAAAGGTCAAGTTTTTTCAAAACTGAATGACAATGTTCCTTGCCTTTTAAAATATTGAATGAGACGCTTTAATGGAAAGCTAAAGAGCAGACATAAAGGTCTTTCTGGAAATCAGGCTCCCTTAAGGCCTCAGTTTGCAAACTAAAAATTAAGCCTCTTTTGAAAGCCTTGACCTAGGCACTAATTTTGAGTAACTGTGTTTGGGATCTTGAATTATCTCAAGTGGAAATGAGAGTTTATTATATTCTCATAGCATGTTGTCTGTTTGCTACTGCTGAAAGGGCTGAAAAACAAATCTTTTTGTTTGTTTGTTTGCTTGGTTGGTTTTAATACCACAGTTTGGAAAAACTTATTTTGTAACAATAATATCAGAGGTTACATTGGGTAAAGCTTCTAAGGATCAAAAATTATATATTCTTCCTCAACAAAGAAAGACAGACAGAGTGGGTAAAGCCTGCTTCATGCACATTTAAACTGAGGCACGCATGTTTTGCAAAAGAGACAGCAACGACAAACCTGCCCTTGAAGTGTTTCTGATGCACCATTAAGAACAGCACACAAACTGTGTCTGCCGTCTCCTCCTGGCGTGGTGTGTCCTCCAAGGAGAAGTTACAGAGTTACAGAGCGGGCGGAGTGCCAGAATTCTGCAAAGCATTGGATTTCATTTTGTCCCTCCTTGCGTTTGTTAGTAACTACTGGATATATACCGAGACATTTGACTTCTGGAACAGAAGGCATTTCATAAGTCATCTATTCTTGTAATGTGAAGAATCTGACTTTATTATTACAGGAGCATGTAAATAAAACTGACCCCAGTGAACTTTCTAACTTTTTAAAACCTCAACTTTGCTCTGGCAAACTAACCTGTGTTAACACTAATCAACGTATTTCATTAAATTCTCACATAGAAAAAAAAGGATAAAGCTTGTAGTTTGTACCTTCAGGTTGATATGCTCTGCCAATTCTCTTCACAATAACATATTAAACACTTCCACTGCTTTGAGGAAAACTGCATCTCTCCCCTTACAGCAGAGTACGTTAAGTAAAATAAGTTGATTTTTGTCAGCTGAGTTCTTTCTGAAATTTGTCCATTAAAAAAACTCTGGGTCTACGCAGCCTTAGAAGGAATGGCAGTGTGTTACACCTTTTCTTTGAAGACAAGAGATAACACATACATACCTCTGCTAATAAGCAGGTAACTATAGGCTCATGTTGATGGATGTGGTTAGAAAACTTATGACACACAATACCACAGAAAGAGAAAAATATGTATAAAAGAGGAATGAAGTTCTTGCGATGAATGGCAGTCAAAATCCTCATTATCCAATTCAGCGCAGTCGTTTTTCTGAATTACAAGAAATCATATAGTGCTCTCAGTATATACCTACAAAGAGGTGGAAGAAGAACAGCAGTTGATTCAACGCATCCTGCACCAAGACAGAAATGGATTTTATTTCAATAATCTGAGGAAACCACACAACACAAATCCTTTGAAACAGTTTTTAAAAAGGTTATGAACACGTGGTGGAGCATAGTTTCTCTTGCCATTTGAGGCTGGCAGACTGATTGCATCACTAGGGACAGTGGGATTTGTCTCCCGTACTAATACATGTAATGCAGTTCCTTAACCCCATTAATTTCTTTTGGATTGCTCACATTCATAAAATTATCATCAGATCTTGTCTGATAGAGATGGCAGCCTTGGGTAGGTTGCACTAACCAGCGCAAGTCTCAAGAGAAGTTAATTCCTCCATTTAATGTTACCTAATCTTTCAACTTCTCATATTCATATGAGAAGTCAACAGTCATATTAGTTTTCTTTATTTTTAGCCATAAAAATGCTAACAAGTCACAGTATTTATAGATGCTTTCATATGCATATTCAAAACGTCTTTACTGGAAATAGCTTTATGGTTGAAACATCTGGTCGGAAGACCTCAACTAAGCATCATCCATTGTGCTCTTACCACAAACTGATAGAGGCACGGTAGGCAGAAAAAGCTCTCCTTAATTTCTCTGAAGCATTTATAGTAGATGGATAAAGCATCAATGAAAATCAGAGTCCTGGGCGTTAACGTAACTTACTATATTCTCTGGATTTTTCAGATCAGCATATATGCAGAAAATCTCACTGTTCCTAAATGACATCTTTGTTTTCTGAGTAAACAGCAGCTGAAGTTAAGGGGAAATTACCACTTTCCTTCTGCCAAAAAAACAGAAGGGAATTTCCCCACATCTGTTGTTTGTTATGGCAAAGTACTCCTGGAAGAAGAGTCCCCAGGAGGCGTAACCTGAAGGGGGACAATGTGTGACTAAGCAGTACCTGGAGAATTTCTAGTTCTCTCACCTTTTTGCCTGCAAGTAAAGGTATCAGCAGGTTGGGAAAGCAAAGCTGTTCCAGCTGGCAGTCCTCTTACTCATTTTCATATTTAAAAAAAAAAAAATCCTTCCATTCTTCATTCTCCCAGTCAGCTCCTCCTCTCTGTTAGGGAATGAAAAGAAGGACATAAATGACTTGGCCACTGCCCAAGGATGGAAGGAAGAACCCCAGAAAACTTAAGAAATTAGCATATAACAATGGATTGATAAAGAAAAAAGTATTTTTAAAAAGTGAAAATAGCAAAGAGAGAGAAAAAAAAAAAAAAGGACAGAATGGTAACAGAATGGTAAAAGCTATTAACATTTATTTATAACAAGATTCAGGATTGCTGTTATCATATTTTATAGCACTATGTGGTTGAGGGACAGTGAAAAATAAAAAGAATAAACTGAGAGGTAAGGGGCAAGTTGAAACTGTGAAAGTAGAGACACCAATGAACTGGTAAATGGAAAGCCACAGTAGGAGAAAGGGACTAAGAGCTGTTAGCCACTGAAATTGGAAAGCTGAAGAAAAGATAGAAGTGGTCAGAAGGAAATAAAAAGGGTTTATCAGATGGAAGAAAATATATTATTGTAAAGAATGTCTTGAGACTATTACAATGAAATTCAAAGAAATTGCTTAGCTGTCAAGGGTTTTGACTGTACAGGGGAAGAAGAAAACTAGACAGACCATACAAAGAAGACTAGTGCGAGAGCTACATGTCTCCAGATACAATGAGGCAGTCACAGACACAGACTGAAGAAGAGATTTTCTCTTTCAAACTACTGATACGTTTCTGTATGCATTTTGCCTGAAGCTGAGGGGTCTAAATGTGCACTTCTTGGCTGCTTGGTACTGGTCATTTCTGCATTTACTAAGGTCACTTTGTGGGGAAAGAAGATGTCTGGTTTGTGCTGCATTTAAAAATTTCCACCACCACCACCCCTTTTCTTCTTTTTCCCCTAAATTCCTGAGATCTTCCCAACCAAGAAACAGAACGCAGGTTTCTGTATCTACGAAGAGTAAGATCAGATTACTAATTGAGTTGTTTCTAAATTAATGTTAATTGTACCTGCACTACAGAGAAGACTGAAGGCTCCAGTCAAGATGAGGGCTCAGTGCCATCGCCATCTACATGTACGTGCCACCTCGCAGTCCCCAGCTGGCCCCTAGCCATACAGCCTGGAGCACAAGCAGCGTGATCTCCCATCTGCCTGCAAAAGACCACAGAGACATTCTCCGGGTAATTTAGGAAATGTCCCAGAGATGGAAATGGATCCGGGACCTCCAAAATTCCTAACCCCCTTTCTAAACACTCAGTCATCTTTCTTCTGTGGAAAAATACCTTCTGGCGCATGGGTGCGTAACCTGAAGGAATTTAGGACAAAGAGCAATGAAGAACTGAAGTGCTGTGTGTGTGCCGAAAGGACCTGCCAGTGTACAGCAACAGGCCTCACTGATTTCTGCCAGTCTGCGTCCTTGTATTTCCATTTGTTTTAATTATTTTATGATACCTCATACACTCTAAGCTTATTTGAACTCTCCAGTAAAACGCACTGTGATAACACCAGCCATTTCACGTAAATGATGCTGTACAGCTGCAAACGGTGGCGGTGTCAATAAAAGGAAAATTATCTTGATTAATCTTCATTAAGTGCAGCATTTTAACATAAGACAGGCAATGAAATTCACTGACTGATTTGCTTAACTTCATATCTTTTAAAGCCTCACAAAAGCTCCCTGGGTATTTGGAAATGCAGGTGTGTTTATCCCAACTCCTTACAATGAAGTACAGCTCTTTTTTTTTTTCTGACCAATTATCCCAGAACTTCAATTTTGCTGATTTCATTTGTTACTTCAGACGGAGGAGGTACCACATAAAAAGTTTAAATATTGTTCAATGTGAAAAACAGTTTCTTTGGCTTTTTTTTTTTTTTCCCCTCCTGTATAGCTTGTTGAATTATTAATAATGCTTTGCTTCACAATGTTTATCAGCATGGTCTCTGGATGATGATTATGCACACACACACATGTTCATGACTATTTTCTTTGTTTCCACATTCTGTGGTGACTATCCTTTGTGTTGTGTTTTTTTGTTTGTTTGCTTGTTTGTTTGTTTTTCTCAGTAAAATTCAAAGCTGTGTTCTGGAAAAAATAGATGAAGTTTACATGAAGCAGATGAAATTGATGTTTCCAGCAAGACAAACTATGTGAGAAGACCAAGGAAAGCTGAAGAACAATACACAGTATTGTTCCCCATTAACCAGCCATAGGGAAGACCTTCCAAATACTGGTTGTAAATGCAAACACGAGTTGCCCAAGAAAAAGAGAAAAATTGGCCAGAAAAACAGTAGGTTCCATAAATGGAGACTTTATTTGGATTTCTGTTTTATTGGAGTAAATTTGAAATTTTAATATGTGGATGACTTACAAATCCAGTGGGAACCCAAAATGAATTCAGCAAAGAAATCTTTACCCTAAGGCGTTAAGGTTGTTTCATCATATGTGAACTAATTTTCATGAGGTTGTCTAGTAAATTTTTAAATTTAATCAGAAGTAACCTAAAATATATAAACTGCGTAGTAATTCTCTCTTCTCCTTGTAGACAAAGGACTGACCTTTCAGTTCACTAGCAGAAATTTCTCTGAAATGCCTGCCAGGCAAAACAAAGATTCCATCTTGATTTTACACTTTAATACAACAGTTTGAACATTAGAAACCCACCAAGGCAATTAAAACATGCTATTCTACATGCTATTCTGCTGTTCACATGCAGACTGTAATTAGCTATAGCCCCCCTTGTGCCTTACCTCAGCCTAGAGGAGCTGTGCTAGATAAGTTGAGGTATGGGTTCCTTGGTTGTCAGGCTGGCAGAAAGTCAGTGTAACACAAAGAGGAGGACAGTTATTCCCAGAGAACAAGAAGTACTGGGCAGATCCTGTGCATCTTGCGAGCTATAGCTTAATTAAAGCTTACAGAAATTATCTGAACATCTGCATTTTGTGCTGTTACCTAGGGCTCTCAGGGTATTCTTTATTGTGTTGGCAACTAAAAAGAATTGCAGATTTTATTTTATTTTTATTGCAAGAGGACAGAAGTTGAGAAATTCAACATGAAGACTCTCTATTTATGTACATGAGGATGAAGTTAGGTTGGGTACACCAACTACATGAGCCACCCTTGAAGGGAACTCTGCTTGATTCATGTTGACATGCCTGGGCTCACATTATATTCATGTTGGTCAGTAGATACAGAGGTTCGCTTGTGTTCAGATTTGTTCCTTTTTGTATGGGGCCAAGAGCAAGCAGCGACACAGAACCTTCATGGACTGCAGTGCATGGACTCGGAACCCTCCAGAGGGGAGAGGTGCTAAGGATCAGGAAGGAAAAAGGGTACTGCATCCTTCAGGCAAACTGGTTTCAAAACCATACTCATTTTTGTATGACCCCGCTCCTTGTGTGGTAATGCACAAAATAGTCCCCCACTGCAGAACGAGTGCCTAAGAACCCCATAACTCGGAGATGCTAACAAGGTAATCATGACCTCAGCCAAACCCCCTCACTTTTCAGGCCTATTCCATATTTCAAATACCTAATGACATTTCCTTTCCATTCTCTGGTATTGCTGTCTTTAGTAATAACATGCGCTGCAGCACTGCCAATCATTAATGATCAACTACACTCCTTAAATAAATGAACATCTTATAATTCGATACTGTCCTTTTTAATTTTGTTTCACCTTTCCAGGACTCTTGCGGACTACAGACATTTGCAACAGATCTTCTTTGCACTTTAGGGCCTTATCTTCCAAAACACAAAATGTTCTGGCCTCGATCCAGGAAAGCACTTAGATACATGTTGACATTTAAGTAGATGAGTGGCCTTAGTGAGGTCAATTGGGCTACTTATTTGTGTAAAGCTAAACCTGTCCTGAAATATTTTGTTCAATGGACTCAGACTGTTCAGCACTTTGAATGACTGAACCCTTCATGAGATCGTACACAATTATTGTAATTATTGCACAAATGCTTTATGCAATAATAATTGCTCTCCAAATGATTAGAAATGTGCACACTTATACTTAACAATTACTGTATCTAATTTCAGTCCAACCCCATGGAAAAGGTATGAGATTATTTCCAATACATATGGGGTATTTCTAATTGCCACTGTGAATTTCTGTAGTGCCAAGGGGTGTTCAAATAGAAAGGATTAGGACATGCTTCGGTCTGAGGGTGACCTCAAACCTGCCTCAGTGAGCACAGCTGTCTCCCTCAACACTATGCAACACATGAACATTAAATCCCTAGTTTGTACTAGGGACGGACACATCCTTGCAGGCACTAGCTCCTGTATCTTCCTGGGGAGCATTTTTAAACCAAGGCAAATTGCCAGAGCCCAAACTTGCAAGCATTTTTGACTGAAAAAAGAACACCGAGATACCTCCGCACTACGTTGCTGGCTCATCATGAGCAGTGTGGCAGCTGAATGCTGATTCTTTGCCCTACAATCCAGCAAGTCAATTATTCAATGGGAGACAGTTCAGAGTTAATTTTTATTCTTCCTCTAAAGAAGCTGAACGGCTGTCTGCCCTCATTACTGATTTATTTTTCCTGTGTAACATCATAAACAGAAATTCACAAGAAAGAGGTTTTGTGGTCACTTACAAGTTCTTTTTCTGAGGCACCAAGCACAGAAGGGAAAGAAGATACAGCTTTTATGAGGCCTGATAGGAAAGTCTAGCCACGTCTGGCCCTTCCAGACCCTGTGACTTGCTGGGTGCAAGGCCCCGAGAGCTCAGTGAACCACTCTGCTGGGAGGAATTAATCGGCTAACAAGGGACACGCTCATGGAGGCAGAACCATTTCAGCCTGTGCTCTAAATTCAGCTTCCTCCACACATTCATCAAATAACGTTTATGAATGATTTTATTAAAAAAAAAACTCCAAGGCTTTCCATTACAGCCAAATTCCTTCTTAGACCTGATACTTCTGCATTATGTAGTATATACATTCCCATACACAACAGGAAATATTGATCAGTGAGATCCTAATTAAGATTTTCCAGTGCTTGTTTACATATTTTTTTTATGATATTCAAGTTGTTCTGGAAAAGCAAACGCACTGACTTGAAGGGTGCCGTCCTCTTCATGGGTTCCTCATGCCACACCTGAATTCCCTGCCACCAGCTGAATGCCACTGGAGGTTATTACAGAGGGGTTAATCTCTGAGCTTAATTAGTCCAGTACACAACAATCAGGGAGCTAATCAATACGTAGAGATGTGTCACTCCTTCCTTATAGCACGCCACTGTTGGCAGGAAGTAAAAAATTACCCCACAGGTAAAACCAGCAAAGCTTCTGCCTTCAACTGGCCGACAGAAAAACCAGAAGCTGCACTCAGCGTCACTCGAACTAACACCCCGAAATGGGACGGCGACCTCGCCTGGGCTCTGGGAACCTTTGAACTTCTCCGAGCAGAGCCGTAAAGCTCCCAGCAGGAGGTCAGGGCTTCCTGCTCGCCGTGCAGCGAGAGCAGCGTGCGAGGAGGCCGCCGCGTCCCACACGGCAGCAGCAGGAAGTCACGGAGGCCTCCGCCAACAGCACGTTCACCAGGCCGGGTAAAACCCTCACGAGCTGCTGGGCCGAGCTCGGTCAAAGGTCAGAGTGGCTCCTAATCTGCTCCGCCGTAATTTTTGGAGCAGATTTTGTGCTGCACATGTAACAGGAAGCTATGGCCGCACTGCAGTCCAGCCACAGTATCTGTCTTTTCCTTTCATGTTTGTTTGTTTGGCTCGGCAAACCTATTGTTTGTTAACTGCTCCTATTGTTTCCGCTGCAGTGCATAGCATTTTGGTAATCCAGGAACTGCCGGAGCATTTGGGCTTTGAAAATACCTTTGAGACAAACATCACCGAGAGCTGCTGAGAGGATCAGCTCAAAACACTGCTGTTTGCTTTGCTACAGCCCTGCCGGCACACTGCTCTGAGGGGAACACACCTTCAGGATTCAGGGACGTACAGCACAAAGAAGGAGCGTTCCTATGGCCAAAGGATGCAGATTTTAAACATGGCTTGAAAAAAAAAACTAGCTTAGTCATGAAATTCTAGCACCAGAAAACAACCTGCTGGGTTTTCTGAATGAAAACAAGCAAACCAACAAACAAAAAAAGCTAGGAGAACCTTGATCCAGGCTCCTCTTGAAACCTACCTGGAACAAACAGCAGTTTCGTAAGTCTTCTGCTCAAGTGTGTGCAGTTGAGCTTTCTCTTTCTCTTTTTCTCTCATGTTTCCAAAGTGCCTCCCTCTCACCAGTTACCAGGCAACAGAACAATATTGCTCTGCATGCGCATCCAGCAATAACTGGCATTGCACTGTATTTTTGCAGTTTCTGAGAGAAAATAAAGATGTCCTGAAATACTGTCTCGTGTGATAAATAGCTACTGCCCGGAAGACATTTAAATGCTTAAAATGCTGATTTCTTTCCTCATAGAAATTCAGAGAATGAAAATAACCCTTCCCTAATAGAGGAACTCCCATCCAAAGCAAACTTACAATGCTAAAATAGACCACACTGCAGAAGGAAGCTGCTTCAGTTGTTATTTCAAACAATTAGCAGCCTTTTAGGTGTTACAGACACTCGCATAAGCCTTTATCTGAAAATCAAGGCAAAACTAAAGCAGCAGCTACATACATCACGTTAAAGTGCATTTTACTGTTTTGGAAACTAAAATGCTGCCTTTGTGATGAAGCTGTCTTTTATTCCTCTTTTGTTTGCTGGTCTGATGTCAATAAAACCGCCAGGAAAGTTCAGCACTTTGCCCAGGAATCACTGCTTTTGGGAGCAGCCATAAAGGTGGGCTGGGATCCAGTCTAACCACAGAGCATCGCCCAGTCCAAACCCCCAGGGTGTGCAGCCCTTCTTCTGGAGTCAGGTTTCATTCAAGAAAAATCTGATTCTGGACCTTGACCCAAGCAGCTCCGGGTCCTTTTGCGTAGTTGTGGTTCAGTTTCAAATTTCATGTTGTAGGTCAAGTTCACCTCGATGTACCACGAAGATAAGAATTTGAAGGCTTTGCAGGTTTTTAACTTACAAAACAAGAGAAGTCTTTAATCATAAACAAGTATTCCACGTATTCCCACCAAAACATGCAATGTAATGAATTCTTAACTCCTAATACTTAACTACTATATGGGTAAGCTGCTCAGTCTCCAACGAAAGACAGTGTCAGTGAACAGTCCTCACAGGTGTGTTATATTTGTGTTAAAACAAAATCAAAGGTGAGCTTTGAAATCTCAGAATACTCAGTAGTCTGGTTTGATTGGTCAAATTGCATTATTTGAGTGGTTAAATTGCATCATTGTATAAGAAATTTTAATTTTAAATTATAACAGGAACTTTATTATTTTTGTTGTTACATTTTTCTTACACTTTTTTTTTCTTTATTTTAGCTGTAAAAAATGGTTAATGTTTGCAACCTAGATACAATTTCCCAGAATGTTTTGAATCCTGACCTTCAGGACACGCAGTGTGTCAGGATATGTATGACAACAGAAAAAAAAATGTTCCATTCCCAATGCTATTGATGCAAAAGCGCTACGCAAATACTTGCTAGATAACAGCAGAAAGATTTGTGGTTCACTTTCTTGGATCTGGGAAAGAGCAGTACAGCATAACGATGCATTCTCAGCTTGTCTAGATAACATAAATAGCATTGCTCAGTGCATACATTTGACACTTTATTTACTCCAACAGTTATTGTGGATGAGTATTGAGTCTGTATAATAAACACCTCCGTTCTGTTTCTAGCTCTAGGAGGAGGAACCAAATCCAAACACTGGATTAACTTATTTGCAGAATGGCTGGAGCATGAGCTGGCTATTGCCTGTAGTGGAAATGCTATGCCTTGGTCAAAAGAAAGACTCCAGTCTGCACTGGAATATAAATAGCAATCACAAGAAATAACACCTCAAGGCGTGACCTGGCTTGTAGTTAGCGACCATTTCTTGTACGCCAGTCCTTTCCCACATACAGCTTCTTCTAACTGAACAAAAAATATCTTCGGCTTATTTTACAATTCGTAAAATCCAGTACAGTCAGGAGGACTTACTGAACCTTATATAAAATCCCCAAGCAGCAGGCAACAGCAGATTTTCTCTGCAGAAGAAAGCAAACAATTAAATCAGATGGGATGGGAGTGAGTGAAAAGAGTAAGTGCCTACAGAAATCAGCTCGATCCCTCGTGTGCTCATTCTAACAGTTGGATTTTCTCATAGAAATAGAGTTGGGGGGGGGGGGAGGGATGTTCAGGTCATGCAGCAGAAGGGAAATGGTGACATCTGGACTCCCCTGAAGCAAGCTTTCACTTTTTGTCTTATCAAAGTTATAACTGAGTGGTCCTATTAAATGACAGGGGAATAAAATAAATAAAAAAATAAACAAACACTTAAAAATGAGCATTTTTTTTTATCTGTTGCTAATGCATATCGAGCTCCTTTTCACATATACAGGCACACAAGTTGCAATCCAATTAGTTTAAGCTAAGCTAAATGAAAAAATAGATTGTGCTATAGCCTAAAAAACAATCAATAGCCACTGTAAGGATCAATGGTCTAAAAAACTATTGACTGCTCATGTCACAACCCGTACTTTCCATTCCACACTAAATACAACTGTAGATCAATATTTGCCAGATGTCCATTTGGAAGCAAAGTATTCTGGCTGTGGTCTCTGTCCTTAACCTTGCAAAAAGTATCGGTCTTTACATTTTGCTTAAACACCCCCTGGTGTGCTGTCGGATTCCACTAACAGCATCTCCCAGAAGTCTCATTATCTTCCTTTTCTAAGCCTAGAGAGGGAGGAACTTTCCGTGGCTCTCATTAGTCTGCCCCACACCGTCCAAACCAGGCTCCTTCATTCTGATGGCAGAGATGTGTTTATTCAGGTAAAAAGGGGATGAGAAGAAAGCAGCCAATCTATCTGTGAGGGGAGGTTTCTTATCTGTAGATTTGACTATCAAGGCTCAACCCTTTGTCAAGCAAGCGTGCTGCTCCTGCTTACAGATACGGTTGATGGATCTCCTGAATGCAATCTCCCCCTTTTTAAAAGCCAAAGGGCTGAACAATACAAAATCTCCTCGGCTCTCAAACCCCAGTCCCTCTGTTGCACAAGCTGCCACTCCCCCAGATAGATGCCAGGCACTGAATTTGTTGCGCGTGGAAGTGTTCCCATTTCGCAGTTGTAGGTGGCACAGGCACTTACTTGAGCACCCTGAGCTCAAGGAGCTGCAGCACGGACCGAGGCTGCACCGGTGTGGCAGAGGGGGAGAGACCCTGCTGGTGGGATTTCTCTCCTCCGAGCCCTGCGGTGACAATGGGTGAGTGCTGTGGCACCGAAGGAGTAGCTGGAGCTTGTGTTGTCGGCAAGGGAGAGGAGGTTTAAACAGGCAATTTTTAGAGACTGTCAAAACTGAAGAGTGTAAACATTGTTAACATTTCTTTAAAATTCTGGCAGGGAAGGAAAGCTGCCTGGATGCGCGCCATCCTACAGTTGCAGAAAAGTTTAGCAGACCATATGCTGCCCTAGAAGACAGGTCCCAGCCAGCTCCTCCCCGAGAGCGTTGGAGAGAGAAGCAGCGAGCAGGCCTTGGAGCGCCGCTGCCATTTCCCCATCCAGCACCGCCGCGCTTCCTCTTTCTGCAGGAGGGCTTGAGAGATGTGCTGCACCAGGTCCTAGCCACGGTGGGCAGAGCTAGCGTGGGCAGGAGAAGGCATGGGTGCTCCTCTTTCCAACTGCATGCATCTCCTTTTTCCATCTACGCACACGTGGTAGGGATTCACTTACCCTGCTGATGTCCCTGCAGGTTGTTGCACGGGGTCTGAGTTCCCTTTGCATTTGCTTTTGCACAAGGCGGTTCTGTAGAGAATGGCTCCCCTTTATCGGTATAATTCTGCAGTCCTTTCCCTGGCATCCTCAGTTCTACTTCGGTGCGAAATGCATGTAAGCAGTTTCGCAGCCAGATATTAGGGTTTTTCACAAGTCTTCCGTAGCTTGGAAAAAAAAACCACCAATTTAATGATTGCAGCGTAGATGCTTTTAACATGCTGTCAATGACTGCAATTTAAAGTGACTTCAAAAATTAAAACGTCGCTTGCTTACATTTTGCTCATCGTAGCAGCCCTGATGAATTTCTGAGTGTAACAACTGTAACTGAAGCCGAATTTGGCCCAGTGATGCAAGATGTCATTAGCATTTCAAAACAGGCAACATTTTGCAATAATGGCAAATATCCCATAACCCTCATAAATTACATATCCTTGTAGAGACTTCTGTTTGGGCACACAAAAGGCTCATTTTTTTCTCTAAAATCCAAAGGGCTAAATCCGGATCTTTCCCCCTCTGGATCAGAGGTTCCTGCATGCCTACCAGCTCAGCGTTAATTAATTGTACTCTTCTCAACCCCGTATATTCTCAGTCCCATAAATTACTCTGGCCCTTTTGGCCTGACGTTAATTACAGTGCTGCACAGTTCACACTGACCCACTTTGTCTTGGACTCAAACTCTCTCTGGCGGTGATTGCTGCGATCACACGTACCAGTCCCTTTCCTATGGTTCACTCCAGCTTCTCCTGGCTTCAACTCTGTACCTTGTAATGCAACCATCCACTCCATCATCCCTTATCATCCTATCTCCTTCTTACAAACGTTCATGAGCTTTCCTGGTAGATTAATGTCTTTGCCTAGAGGTTAATGGAGGACGTGGTTCGAGCGCTGCGGGCACACCTACAGATGGGCAATTTTACAACTACTGGTTGTAATCTAGATTTCGACTGCACTGGGGAAAACGAGAAGATCCCAGCAGTGACTTACTTTGACACACTGGGCAGGGTTGCCTAGCTGGGCAAACGAGCAACCACGCTGCCAGCTCCTGGGTGAATTTCCTTGTCCTGTGGCTCTGCAGCATCTGCACCAGGCTGGGGACGCTGCCAGCAGGAGGCTGGTGCAGCCCTCGGAGATGATCACTGCTGGCAAATGCCCTGGGGGCCTCGCTGGCTTCCCCTGAGGCTTCCTCCCAGCTGCGGGCTGCTGGTGCTGCTGGAGAAGGCACAGCCTCAGAGGGAAACAGCAGGGAGACAGCGAGCAGCTCTGGGAAGGCTGCAGCAGCAGGAGTGCTGCAGAGCATTGCGCTGAAAAAAGGAGAACGACGAGACACAGGCAAAAAGAAATCCTCTGTCTTTCTAGTTAAGTGCTGTGTTCTTCCTCCTGCCCCCCGTTCAAATTTTTAGGATAAATAGCTCCCATCAGAGGATGGCAGCACTCCGTCGTTGCTCCTGAAAAAGCAGAGCCCATTGCCCTCATCAGGATGGGCCCACAGGGCTTCTGGAGCTCTGGCTCTGCATTTCGGGCATGGCCACGACAAGGCTGTCCTGGCCACAGCCAGACCACCCCAAGGACAGCAGGGCCAAGCCTGCTGACTCAGGGGACACTTCATTTCCCCACAGCTGCAGGCAGAGGTTGAGGCTGGCTTATTTTGCATCTCACATCTGCTAGGGAGCCTGGCACCAGTGCACTGCCCCTGCACAGTGAGCAGCAGGAATATACTTGACATGAAGAGCTGCATTTCCCTCAGGCGTCACAACTACTGGCCTCTTCTCTGCGGCAGGGCAAGAGGCAGAGAGAGTGAACAGCAGAATGGACACAAAGGATCCAGGCTTGGGGATAACCCCAAAGTTCAAGGGAAGGATTATTTCCCATCAGAGGAGTACGATCACTGCTTAGCAGAAGGCACCACGAAGGGACAGTGCACATGCAGGAGGGGAACCTGCTCAAAATTTGCATTTTCATATTAGAGAAATCTAATATGCCCTTTATAAGTGCCCATAGCAGCTCCTTCTCTTACCCCAGAGAGTAATTACTCTTATGATCAGCTTCACAAGCAGAAGCCTAAATTCCAGCAGTATGTCCCAAGCCATTTAAAAAAGAGCCTACCTAGGATCTTTTTTACATGATTACAGGACCACAGAAATTTTAAGATGCATTTTTTTGGAATCATGGTGTCAAGAAGCTGAGAATCTTAGCTATCACAATGCTGATACCATCACTCCAGACAGCTGTATTTCAAGAAAAAATACTAGCAACGTGATCCAAAGCTTGGAGAAACCTCATCAAACCAGCAAGATCGTGATGCAGAATGCTGCAAAAGCCATCAACATATTTTATTAATTAGATTAGGATTAGCTGGAGCTTTAGTTAAAACACGCGAACATTTACTGTGCTATGTATCCTGATGATGTTAACATGGCATTAAATTACAGTTATGTATGTATAAAAGCTTTTTCATTGAGCAATGAAAACCAGTATTTTGCTAGTGAACTTCTGAACCTCTGTTATTTCAAAACGTATTAACATTGTTGGTGAAGGCAGAGAGACAAAGTTATGAGAGGGTAGACACTGAGAGTCTGGAAATTCTTGCTTTGTGGGGCATTCTGAGGACAAAACAGTCATGAGAAATCTCCGCCATCTCCCCAGCAATTTGTGCTCTAAAGCCAACCAGGAAACAGTCCCAGCCAGTATTCAGACAGACGCCAAGAACAAACATACTCGGTTAAAGAAAGCGTGTTAATAAGACCTTACACCTCAATAGGTGTAATCAATACATGAGCAAGCCAACAAATATATGGCTGGAGATGTCACCGTAACACACCAGAAATAATTGAACTATCAAAATCCACCCTGTAAGTAATGTCTTGTGCTTCTGTAATGTGGTAAAGCTATTTTGTTTGTCTATGTTTCAAGAAAATTATTGTGTCACCAGCAAGTTTGGATTTGAATAAGAAGACAGAGAGAAACCACGCTATTCCTTTTATTTTGGTTGAGATAGAAAACACTCCTACAGCGGGAAATGGCTCTGCAACACTGGCAGTCAGGGTGAGTCTTGAGCTTGACAAAAGCCTTAAATATATTAACACTTGCAGAACAATTGTGAGGTGGCAACATCACTTCATATCCCAATCCCTGATACCACCTGATACAGTATAACCCAGTAATTTATTACAGAATGAAATATTCAGCATCGTTTCCCCATTTGTAATGGGAATATTGAAAGATTTCAAAAGTGTGCTTGAAAAGTTGTTTCAAATCTATTAATGAGCAGCACTTTTTAATAGATAAGTGCTATCCTCAATTAGTTTTTCATCCTTTCCACTGTCTTGTATAGCATTTCTCTTCATTGCCTTCCTCTTTTCTCCCATGTCATCTTCCATGCAATATATCGGTGAGGCACGTAAGGTGGTGGAGCACTGAAGTAGGTCTGGCCAGCCTGACCGCAGGCATGACAGGACAGAGAATCAGCACAATGATCTGTGCATCATGCTCTCTATTTGGGTTATGCCCAACAAAGATGCCTGTTCTTCGCTTTTAAGTCTTAGTGCTCTTTCCCTATTCTTTTCTTCTTCTCCAGCGAGCCAAAATAACGTGTAGCACTGAAGCCATGTGACTCATTTCCTCATCAGTTGAGAGACTTTCTTTGATATTTTGATGACATAATTTTAAAATACAGTAATAAATTCTAGCATAACTTTAAAATTTACCACAGGCCACGTAGAGAAGCAGCGCGTTTTACTCCTACTGCTCTTATCTGCCTTTCCTGCTCCTTTGCTTATTTTTAACTGCCTCCCACACATCCTGGCCCCATGCTCTCCCGCCCTCCAGCCTCAATCTTTTCCACCTTTATTTCCCTACTATTTTTGTTTTTGTTATTTTTATTTTTTTTTGCCACCAAGGATCTTCACCTCTACTGCCACAGCATATGAAATCTTTCCTTCGGTAGCTCCCCACCTTCCCTACCTCCGTTCAGTCGCAGAAATGCCATAAATGTCTGCCTGCATCTTTCCCACCCACCCGTAACCCTTCTCAGAATTTCTCCCTGTCTGTCCGCCGTTCCTCAGAAAGCTTTCTGTACATGCTGCCTACCCTGCAATCTTCTCCTATTATGCCTCCTGCTATTCATTCAAGCTCTTGAAGCCCATCCAGTTTCTGCTCTATACTCTGGCTCCTTTTGCTGCCAGAAAACGGTCTAGTTCTCATATTTCTGGGCAAGGAAAAAATCTCCATTTCCTATCTCACTTCCTGGATACCATTTCACCATGAAATACCTCCATCCTTTATATACTACTCCCCTTTCTCCCCAGTGCTGGCAGATCTTAAATTTCTGCCTTGCTTTCTGCCTTTTAGAGGTGCAGGTATCACAGCATCATTTATCTATCATTTATCTATTTGCCTCTTTTATGTATGACTAATCCGACCTCAAATATAGAAAATCATAATGCCTCAGGCAGCTTAGCCCTAACTCTTGCCAGAGGATGAACCTGCTAGGAGACAGTTCTTTCTACAGAAATTACGTACAGGTCAAGTTTCATTGTGGAATAAAGAATGACATTTTCACCTCTATGGAAATCACTGAGACTTGAGGGTATGTCTGAAAATCCCATTTAATAGAATCTGGCGTTCTTTGGTCTTTCACATTTAAACCAATGATAAAGATTTTCATTAATATGTTGGCCAGCCAAAATTCCTCCAAGAACTAATAGCTGTCTTCTCGGAATATCTTGGCTTTCTTCATTTCTTCACTCATCTATCAATGCTTGTTCCTTGTAAATGCCAAAGATATGTTAGGTTATAACTGTTCTTTTGGTCACTTTTTCTTAGAGCTTTGTACATAATTCTGATCATCATTCCCTTCTGGTGTCCTAAGTCTCTAAAACCCACATCAAGCTTGTTTTCTCTCCTCACAGGAATGCCCACTTTACAGGTTACTTACTTAAACTTAGGTTCAGAGAGTTAATTCTCCACTGGATTTTTTTTTTCTTTGAGATGTCAGAAGTCATATCTGGCCTAGATGTTTGCTGCTTCTTTGGAATAGACAATTACAGTGGTGTTTGCTTCAACTCTCTAATAAAGTAGCTGTATTCCTAGATATAGTATAACCTTTCATATTCAAGGGAAAAAAGAGCATTTCACTTGGGCTTACTGTTAACTCCTCTCGTCTAGA